GATGGAGGGATAGGAGATTAGAGGGATGGTCCCCGATGGAGGGATAGCAGATTAGAGGGATGGTCCCCTACAGACAGTTAGAAGATTAGAGTGGGTTTCAATCATCTGTAAAGCCTTTATCCTGAGATTGCTTTCCTTGGAAAATTAAGGAAATGTCCTGACCTTAGTAGAGGACTGTCACCAGTTATTGCCCAAAATTCCATGCTGCTGGTTTTGATTGGCCGTGCTTGTGCCTCGTTCCCATTTCTCCTGTGTCAGCTCTGCAAATGTTGCAGGCTGGGAACCAGCATGCAGGATCTTCCAGTTGTCACAGGGTTAACCCAAGACTCCTTCGATCGAAGTCAAATGCACACAGTCTTTCCATCAGAATGCCCATGAACATATGTGACATATTGTCCATTTGCAAATTGTGTTGAGTCTAATGTTGAACATTATTTCCCCACAGGACTGTGAACAGGGTACTGCCCGATGTATTGATTTCCAATGCCCTCTACAAATTCTAAACACAACAACCAGAGTGAAAATAGGTGCCCGACTGTGGAACAGCACCTTTCTGGAGGTGAGCCATTCCAGCAATTGTATGATGAGATTAATTTAATGCCAGTTTGATGGAAGTAAGGTCTTTAGCTCTGCTATTGGTGAGGTTCATCAAGGAAATGGAGTTGGATGAGCGTCAGTCTAATTCCTGGTGACTATAACTCCAGAGTTTAAAACTGGCCAAACATTAGAACCAAATATAGTTGTTATTATTGAAGGTGGGTAGGAGAAGAATCACTCAAGACCCAATTTGAAGACCAGAACAGGTACAAGGAGCTGACTGCTGTCCTCCTGTGTCCCTCATTGACATGAGATTGTCCATTCCACTGTGAGGACAGAGGGTCACCAAAAGGTGGGAAACTGAAACATCATATCTTTCAGGTAAAACCTTCTTCTGGGTTGGATTTAAGGCCCCTTATTGGACCAGAGCCAAGGGCATTTGAATAACCCAGCTCCTGACCTCATTCCAGCCTTGGTTCAAACATGGACAAAAGAGCTGAATTCCAGAGGTGAGGTGAGAGTGACAGCCCTTGACATCAAGGAGCCCTAGCAAAATTGGAATCAATGGGTATCAGGGGGCGAACTCTCTGTTGGTTGGAATTATACCTGACACATTGGAAGATGGTTGTGGTTGTTGGAGGTCAGTTATCTCAGGTCCAGGACATCTCTGCATGAGTTCCTCAGGGCAGTGTCCTCGGCCCAACCATCTTCAGCTGCTTCATCAATGACCTTCCTTCCATCATAAGGTCAGAAGTGGGGATGTTTGCTGATGATTACACAATGTTCAGCACCATTCGCCACTCCTCAGATACTGAAACAGTCCGTGTTCAAATGCAACAAGATCTGAACAATTTCCAGGCTTGGGCTGACAAGTGGCAAATAACATTTGTACCACACAAATATCAGGCTGCAACCATCTGGAATTCTCTCCCTAATGGTATTGTAGGTCTCCCAACAGCTTACAGACTGCAGCGGTTCAAGAAGACAGCTCACCACCACCTTCTCAAGGGGCAACTAGGGACGGGGAAATAAATGCTGGGCCCAGCCAATGATGCCCACATCCTTGAAAAACGAGAAAAAAGGAACTGTAGTTCCGTCCTAATGTGTACAGAGCAGCTGACCTCCCTTACTCTGAGGGGCTTAAGAGAGAAAATAGGGGCCAAGTTCCAATCTCTGAGTGTGAGCCTCTTTGTGCAAGGTGTCCCTGTGTATGTATTGGAGGCTGTCTCAGCTCCAAGGTGCAGGGTGGTGACCTGATAAGGTACTGAAAGGGTGCCAGCCCATCTTTTGAACAACTCCTTCTTGTATCTTGAGGCTCTCCAACCATTTGAGAGCCACGCCGATGTCTGAACTTGTGCTGCTGCAAATCCTACTTCCTCAACTTGCTGACCGCAGTCAGGAATGAATGGGCTGGGAAGGAGGAAGTGATGGACTTGCTTTAATGAAGACCTGTTGTTAACATTTCAGGAGTACGCTTCATACAGTTCCATCAAACTGACCATCCGTGCCAACATCAGCGTGAAGTCAAGTATCAGAAACCTAAAGGTGAAGGAAGCTGCTGCTGAGGTACAGATATCGCTCCAAATCTCACCTTTGCTGAAGGCTTCAACACAATATTTTGGAATATTTCAACACAAGGCCACAGGGCTGTCTGACCTTATCCTTGGACAACAATCAGGAAGGGGATCAAGGGTTAAAGGGAAAAGGCACGAGAGTGGAGTTGAGGATGACCAGATCGATCATGATCCCATTGAATGGTGGAGCAGACTCGATGGGCTGAATGGCCTACTTCTGTTCCTCTGTCTTATGGGAACATGTGCCATAGCATCACCACCAATAAGGCTCACAAGGGTTAGAAACACAGACCATCGGAAGTTTGTCTCCCTGGCTCACCCGCTGTGAGCTTGGCAAAACATATTGACAGTGTAAACCACGAGGAAGGTCCAATTTTAAGAATTGAAGCTGGATTTCCCTCACTCCTCTGCTTTTCAATTGGGAGACAATTGGAAAGCGTCACCAGCTAGCTGCTCCCCGTCCTTCCTGCTGTTACACCCCCACCCCCACTCCTTCCTCTTACCTTCACTCACCCACCTTCCCCTATCCCTTCCTTATCCCTCACCGTCTCCTCCACTTTCGCCCCACCAGCAGAAATGTCTGTGGGGCCCTTGTGGAGAGAGAAAGATACAGCAGGGGTGAGGGGCTCCAGCTACAATGTCATCCTGAGCTGGAGGACGAGAAATGGCAAGACTGCTATCATGATAAGGATCCCTGACTAGGTCATCCTGCACTTTTCCACAGCCTGTTTCATGGGCTTAACGTACAGGAGAAGAACATTACATAGCAAGAGGGTAAAATGGTAAGAAGGTGTAGAGCTGGATGAACACAGCAGGCCAAGCAGCATCAGAGGA